TTTGGTTTTTGTTGTGACGCGGCTCATTTGTTAATCTAGTCCTACAATCTAATAAGCTAACTATTACACTTACTGATAAATATCCAGCAGTGTCTTAGTCAAGTACTGCTAAAATCTATAATCAGTTGAACTTTGTTTTATACAAAAAAGGTACAATTTCACTAACCTATGCATAAGTAGATTTACTAGTAATTCTATAAAAATAAAAAACAATTCATCTGTAGATAAGCAACAAGCTCATTTAAGAAGAAAAGAAAAATCACATTAATTTTATTCTTGTTTATATTACCTGGATCTTAAAGGTGGTACAAAAATAAACAATGATTCCACTGAATCATTGGGAGAAGGGGAAGTACTGGGTTGCTAATGGTAACCAAATCCAACCTTGACTTACTAGGTTCTATAATAGCAGGTCTCTCAAATAGAATGTTTGAACTGCTAGAAGAGCTTAATTGAAAGGTAAGGGGAAGCGGATTTTCCATTCTAACACATTCCACATCCTGATTATTGACATTAAATTTTCTTTTCTTTATGTATACGATGACAAAAACTGCAGCCACTACAACCATAACTATGGCCTGTAATATAATCCAAATGATGTTTGTGATAATAAAGAATAAATACAAATAGTAAAATGATATGAATCAGCAAAGTTCATTGCATTTGTTTAAATATTATCAGCACATTGTAAATCTAACTCACTTCTTCATATATTGCATCTGTACCAGTTTGATTAGAAGATACAGATGTGTCAGTTTGACCTGAAGTTAAATAAGCATTTAGGTAAGGGTTAGTTGATGAATGAAACGCCATTTGCTGAAGTTCTATCTCTTCAATAGTACTAAATGTTTAATGGTTAATGAAATCGTCCTTGTTGTTGAAGGAATGTTTGGTGTACCTATTGCTTATGGTGTCATCTTTGTCTTAAAAGAGGTGCCGGGCATATCTTAAATAATCTTTGAAGGCTGCAAAATAAAAGAAATCATTCCTTTTGTTCAAATATAATTAGTTCACAGAGTGAATGACGTGGTCACACGCTGATATTCCATCAAATGCCTATTATTTATATTTAGTTTATTTACATGTTCAGGTAGCATAAACTTAAATGTTCGTTTATCTATCAAATTAAACCAGTCTGTTCAGTGCATCCAATATATAAATTCCAACCTCATCAAAGTTGCAGTAAACTTTATTTTGTGACTCTCCATCTGCACACCTGGGTTACAGCGCGTTCAAACACACAAATATTGATTTGACCACACATTAATTCTGCCATTTTCTCAATAAGCCTAAGGAAGCATTCTTAAATTTCTTATTCCATTTCTTCTTTGTGAACACTTATAATTTCACCTTTTTTATATCCATATATATTCCACTGAATTTGAAAATAACAGGAGCAACACAAAAAAACCCAGTCCATATCACACCGCGCTGCCACCAGTGTAACTTAACTTAGTCTCTTCTCTTTAGGTAGCATTGCAGAGGCAAATATGGCTAACAAAGTCTTGCATGAAAATAACATTCCGCAGGCCCGAAATAACATAAGAATACAGTGTCTTCTTCTACTTATTTATTTTTCATTTTTTCACAAACACCTAAGGAAGCATTCTTAAATTTCTTATTCCCTTTTTTCTTTGTAAACACTTATAATTTCACCTTTTCTATATCCATATATATTCCACTGAATTTGAAAATAACAGGAACAACACAAAAAAAACCAGCACTTTTCTCTTTATAAACTCATCATATTCAATTAAATAACATAACTTAATTAATCCCATTTTTCTGAACCAAACACAAATGGAAGATTTGGGTGCACTTAATTTCCTCTAAACTGAATACGTTTTAGAAAATAATTATCCTTGAAGTTGTCAAAATCCTCTCTCCGTGTAAGAAATACTTGGTTTGGATTTGCCAGAACAAAGTAACTTTGTAGTTTCTTTGGAGGAGGACACATTTCATAAATCTCTTTAAAAGATGTCACTTTATTAAATTCCATGTTTTGACGTTTAATTCTCCAGAAGTGTGATAAAGTCCATATCACACCGCGCTGCCACCAGTGTAACTAAACTTAGTCTCTTCTCCTTAGGTAGCATTGGAGAGGTAAATTTGGCTTACAAAGTCCTGCATGAAAATAACATTCAGCAGACCAGAAATAAACACATAAGAATACAGTGTCTACTTCTACTTATTTATTTTTTCATTTATTTGCAAACACACACTCGCATATTAAAAGTTATTACACTCAAACTTGACATTATTCAAATATTTACAACATTTAAAACAATACTTCCAATGAATTATACTGAAATACTCAAATATTTTCTTTTCCATATTTCTTTATTTCTCCCTAATCTCCATCCTAATCTAATCTCAATCCCATTTGAAACAGGATGGGAGTTAAACAACAACTACAAAGTCATTTTTAAGGTTATTTCCCTAACTATGACAACACCCAGGTGATTTATTTTTATGATCTGTTCTAATCCAACTCTCCATTGCTTCTCCCCAAAAGGAGAATTGTATATCGATAATATTAACGCAGAAATCAATTAACCAATCACAAGTAAGGAGGCGTTCCTATAGCCAAGAAATTTAACAATATATCTTCTAGAGTATAATCAGTAGAATATAAATAAACCAATAACAACAATAACAACAATATCAGTTGTAACTTTAAAGGCATATTGTTACAGATTCGCCCCTCACTTAAGACATTATTTTAGTTTTTACTTTTTTTTACTTTTCAAATACTTAGTGATTTTCTACGGATATTTGATTTATGATGATATTTTTTAACCGAGTCAGTTTACAAGTAGAGAATTAATCAAGATATTTTTCTTTGAATGAGTCAACTTAAGAATAATGATTCCGAAGATTAATCATAGACACGTGATATTAAGAAAAATGTGTCACTAAAGTTCTAAAGTTCCGGGAAATTAATCCAGTTATTGGCGTCCTAACAATGGAAGTCCTCGCACCAATATTCTATTAGCAATGTAATCAGCAAAACTGTATATTCTTTTAAAGATTATATTTTTTTAATAATCCACAATAAATCACGGTGTGAACAATAAAATCTGTTTGATAGTCATTGAGACGAGGAACTATTAACTACTCTATTGTTCGTCACGGTGTTGGTTGTTGATTGAACAAAGTTTGTTGAAAATTAATTTTCCTTTTGGCAGCCGCTCAGGGGGACTGCTTTGTTATGCTATGATTAAAGTTGATGTCCTCCGCAATTTACTATGATATTTCTTTCTTCAATTGTGAGATTCTGTAATTATTATTATTATTATTGTTAAATTTTTTGTCTCTGACTTAAAATTCTTGCAATTGTATGATGCCAGCGAAACCCAGTGAAATAAGCTCTTAAATAGTGCAAGATGTGACTTGGACCGTTTTGAAAATATCTCATTAATTGTTCACTATTTAAATATCCGCAATTATTTAAAATTTGTCTCAAGCTTAAAATATCTAAACAGTTATTCGACTGTGTATACTTATAATTTCTTTGTTCTATTAATTCGTTTATAACTTCATCTACAACACACAAATCCCAGAAATTACCCTCCGTACAGATGGTTTTTGTTTCCAAAATTCTTAAAATTGGTATGAAAACACTAATTTTTTCACCTCCTCCAGCTATGAATAAATACTTCCAATTGTTGTCGTACAAAAGTATAAGCCATACGTCTATCCAAGCAAATACCGTATAAGTGTTTTTTTCTGTGGGCTCCAAATTCTGCGGTTTTTCAAAATTTTGGCATGTTTTTATTTCTGCAGACTTAATTTCTGCGGCACATTCTTTGGACAAAATGTGATTTAAATTCTGCGGCTCATCTTATTAAAGTCTAAGTCACATTACATTACCTATTTTATTTGCATGTACACATTCGCATTAAAATTTTGTTTACCGTCGTCACCGCGGAACTATATTATATAGTAATTACAAACAATTATATTATTTGCTTGCAAACAAATATAATGTGCATCAATAGACAGTTTGCATCTTTAAATCAGTGTGAAATGACGTGTGAAAAATATACTATGGTAGTATCTTTAATTTTATAAAATTGATAGAAGTTTATCGTAAATCAGACAACAATTAATGTATACGACGATTGTTTAGCAGAATAAGGGTTTAAATGGTTTTAATGATATAGTGGTAAACAAACCCTTTAGCGTACAGGCAAACACTATGATGTTTGAATTTCTTTGTTCATAAATTGGCATAATTAACAACAATTACATCCTTACATGCAGATATTGCATATTTAGCCGAAATCAATTTTATATAACTCGATGACCCGCTAACCGTTATAATCGTTTAGTCTTTATTCCTTTAAAGGAAACAGGTCATAATGTAGGACTCATTTCTTTTAAAAAAAACAAAACGTGGAGAAATATTCTGCGGTTTTTATTTCTGCGGTGCTGAAACTGACCGAAGAAAACGCAGGAATAAAGTCACCGCAGAAAAAACCACTTGTACGGTACCAGCCTCATTTGGATCGTTAAAATAACCAGTTGTTAATATTCTATGAATAGCGTCGTGGTTAACTATTTATCCCAAATATAAGTGAGATCTCATAATATCACGACCTCCGAAACAATTAAACCAAAAGTTCCAGTTTTTTAGCTCACCTGTCACAAAGTGACAGGGTGAGCTTTTGTGATCGCTTTTCGTCCGTCGTCCGTCCGTCCGTAAACTTTTGCTTTAAATGACATCTCCTCATAAACCACTGAGCCAATTTCATCCAAACTTCAGAGGAATGTTCCTTTGGTGGTCACCTTTAAAAATTGTTCAAAGAATTTAATTCCATGCAGAACTCTGGTTGCCATGGCAACCAAAAGAAAAAACTTTAAATATCTTCTTTTAAAAAACCATAAGAGCTAGAGCTTAGATATTTGGCATGAAACATCTTCTAGTGAGTGTCTACCAAGTTTGTTCAAATAAAAGCCCTGGGGTCAAAATTGGCCCTGCCCCTGGGGGTCATTGATTTTCCCTATATACATATAGTAAAAACTTAAAAAATCTTCTTTTAAAGAACCGTAAGAGCTAGAGCTTAGATATTTGGCATGAAACATCTTCTAGTGAATGTCTACCAAGTTTGTTCAAATAAAAGCCCTGGGGTCAAAATTGGCCCCGACCCAGGGGGTCATTGATTTTCCCTATATGCATATAGTAAAACTTTAAAAAATCTTCTTTTAAAGAACCCAAAGAGCTAGAGCTAAGATATTAAGCATGAAACATCTTCTAGTGAGTGTCTACCAAGTTTGTTCAAATTAAAGCCCTGGGGTCAAAATTGGCCCCGCCCCGGGAGTCATTGATTTTCCCTATATGCATATAGTAAAAACTTTAAAAATCTTCTTTTAAAGAACCATAAGAGCTAGAGCTTAGATATTTAGCATGAAACATCTTCTAGTGAATGTCTACCAAGTTTGTTCAAATAAATGCCCTGGGGTCAAAATTGACCCCGCCCCAGGGGGTCATAGATTTTCCCTATATGCATATAGTAAAAACTTAAAAAAATTTCTTTTAAAGAACCCAAAGAGCTAGAGCTAAGATATTAAGCATGAAACATCTTCTAGTGAGTGTCTACCAAGTTTGTTCAAATTAAAGCCCTGGAGTCAAAATTGGCCCGCCCCGGGGATCATTGATTTTCCCTATATGCATATAGTAAAAACTTAAAAAATCTTCTTTTAAAGAACCATAAGAGCTAGAGCTTAGATATTTGGCATGAAACATCTTCTAGTGAATGTCTACCAAGTTTGTTCAAATAAAAGCCCTGGGGTCAAAATTGACCCGCCCCAGGGGGTCATAGATTTTCCCTATATGCATATAATAAAAACTTAAAAAATTTTCTTTTAAAGAACCCAAAGAGCTAGAGCTAAGATATTAAGCATGAAACATCTTCTAGTGAGTGTCTACCAAGTTTGTTCAAATTAAAGCCCTGGAGTCAAAATTGGCCCGCCCCGGGGATCATTGATTTTCCCTGTATGCATATAGTAAAAACTTAAAAAATCTTCTTTTAAAGAACCATAAGAGCTAGAGCTTAGATATTTGGCATGAAACATCTTCTAGTGAATGTCTACCAAGTTTGTTCAAATAAAAGCCCTGGGGTCAAAATTGACCCTGCCCCAGGGGGTCATAGATTTTCCCTATATGCATATAGTAAAAACTTAAAAAATCTTTTTTTAAAGAACCCAAAGAGCTAGAGCTAAGATATTTAGCATGAAACATCTTCTAATGAGTGTCTACCAAGTTTGTTCAAATAAAAGCTCTGGGGTCAAAATTGGCCCCGCCCCAGGGGGTCATTGATTTTCCCTATATGCATATAGTAAAAACTTAAAAAATCTTCTTTTAAAGAACTCAAAGAGCTAGAGCTAAGATATTAAGCATGAAACATGTTCTAATCAGTGTCTACCAAGTATGTTCAAATAAAAGCCCTGGGGTCAAAACTGGCCCCGCCCCAGGGGTGACATTGTTTTAAACTATATGTGTATAGTAAAAACTTTAAAAATCTTCTTTTAAAAAAGCCAATGAGCTAGAACTTAGATGTTTAGCATGAAACATCTTCTTATGGGTGTGTACCAAGTCTGTTCAAATAAACAAATAAAAGCCCTTGGGTAAAAATTGGCCCGGGGGTGGGGGGCCTATATACAGGTGAGCGACCTCAGGGCCATCATGGCCCTCTTGTTTCGTCTTCCTAGCATCACGACGACTTAAAAGTGATGAAGGAAACACACCAGAAAGAGGTGTAGCAAACGTAGACACATCTGGTTCCAAGAGAATGGATTCACTTGATGTAGCATCTAATTCACTTGCTATAACATCTAAATCATAACTTTGACGACAGAAAGGACAACTATCAATATGTTTAAAACACGATTCACAAACAAATGATGTGCATTTGCATTTATTTACAAAATAATACTCTTAATCTTCAAGACAAACTCCGCAAGTTTCTAGCCAAATTTCCTTAAACATTTTTCTTTTCTTTTTTTCTTTTTTGTTTCGTTTAAGCACTCTAACGAAAAGACATAACAAATTGTAATATATATCATATTTCTTCCTGAGGCTACTCCTCAGGCAAATTGTGATCATTCCCAACTCTGTGTGTCATTTATCCACTACTCATGTTTATATTCTTCTAATGAACAATAGCTGTACATCCATAAAACATAATAATTAGTTTATATAATGTAACAGTTAAAAGTATAATTAGTTTATAAATTCCAAATAATATATAGAATGTAGCCTCTATGCATTGTACACCACAATATACACACTACTCACAACATAGTTAATCATTCGAAAACGTTTATAAGCTGGTAACTTCGGTGACATTTTCTTTAGACAAACTTGGGTATAATCATTTTCACAATTGTATCTAAAGTATCTTTTGACGACACAGGAAGATTTTGATTCCTGGACGAACGTGGTGTTGCCTCTGTAGAAACCAATGTCGTCTGCATCTCAATGCTTTCTCTAGGTTGAGAGATAACTTCTTTCCTTCACTGCATGCTGTGAGCTGAATATGGGTTTTTTCCGGCATCTCATATAACCCTTTTTATATACACATAATGCAATAAGGAGAGGATAATAAGGACTCTTGAGACAGCGCCTACATAAAGCCAAATTGACCTTTAATTTTTCTTGACCTGAAGGCTTTGCATGGAATTTAATTCATATAAAAGACCTTGATGGGATATTTCTTTAACTTCCTTTAGGGTTTTTGGGATTTGAACCCGAGATAGGTAAGGGAAATGTTCTTTTCGAAGCGTCGCCAAAGCATAGGTCTTGTAACGTTATAATTGCAAAGTAATTGGAAATCTTGATCAGTTATTGTGACCTGACTTTTCCGTACAGAGGCCGAGGTCAGTGTCATATATTTGTTACAAGCTGTACACATATTAGGTACATGCATTATACCTATTGGAGGTCTTATAAGTCTTGACCCTTCCTGATTTTTAGCTCACCTGTCACAAAGTGACAGGGTGAGCTTTTGTGATCGCTTTTTGTCCGGCGTCCGTCCGTCCTCCGTCCGTAAACTTTTACTTTAAATGACATCTCCTCATAAACCACTAAGCCAATTTCATCCAAACTTCACAGGAATGTTCCTTTGGTGGTCACCTTTAAATATTGTTCAAAGAATTTAATTTAATGCAGAACTCTGGTTGCCATGGCAACCAAAAGAAAAAACTTTAAATATCTTCTTTTAAAAAACTATAAGAGCTAGAGCTTAGATATTTGGCATGAAACATCTTCTAGTGAGTGTCTACCAAATTTGTTCAAATAAAAGCCCTGGGGTCAAAATTGGCCCCTCCCCGGGGGTCATTGATTTTCCTTATATGTGTATGGCAAAAACTTAAAATCTTTGAAAAAACCCATATAGCTAGAGTTTAGATATTAAGCATGAAGCATCTTCTAATCAGTGTCTAAAAAGTTTTTTCAAATAAAAGCCCCGGGGTCAAAATTGGCCCTGCCCTGGGGGTCATTGATTTTCCTTTTTTGTGTGTAGCAAAAACTTAAAAATCTTCTTTGAAAAACCCAAATAGCTTGAGTTTAGATATTAAGCATGAAACATCTTTTAGTAAATATCTACAAAGTGTGTTCAAATGAAAGCCCGGGGGTCAAAACTGGCCCTGCCCCAGGGGTGTCATTGTTTTTAACTATATGTGTATAGTAAAAACTTAAAAAAATCTCTTTCAAAAAACCCAATGAGTTAGAACTTAGATGTTTAGAATGAAACATCTTCTTATGGGTGTCTACCAAGTCTGTTCAAATAAACAAATAAAAGCCCTTGGGTAAAAATTGGTGGGGGAGGAGGGGGCTATATACAGGTGAGCGACCTCAGGGCCATCATGGCCCTCTTATGATTACATTTAAGTTTCATTTCAAATAAGGAGGCGATACTTTGATGACAATCGTCATTGTTAATTTTTCAAAGCAAAAAGAGATAGATGTGTAACTATTTATAGTCAAAATACTTTTTGTTACTGTTAGTCTCTCTCTGTGCATGTAAATTTGTTGCTGAAAAAGCGCCTTGAGGTCGACCCCCGGAAAAAGGACATCTGAGAATATGAACTACATTAAAAGTCCATATGAAGAATCGGTCAAAACACAATAACTAATTCTAATTAATGCAATAAAGAGAGGGGTTAGAAGAGAACAATCAATCTTTCAAGGAAAACTTTAAAAGACTCCCATGGTTTTTGTTTGACTTTCCGCAAACTACACCTGGCCATACCCACAAACATTGCCTACTTTTCAACGCTTCTTCAATCCAGTCTTTAAAGGCCTTGCTATCACCTTCAAAGGACGGGACCACCTTAGCCACCCCATGGGCTCCTATGGAAGTGGATAAACCAGAAAGTTGCTGTCACATTTGCCTAATAAGATCTGCCGTTTCTTCCTGTTCAGCCATAGCAATTCAGAAGAAGTACTCAAAGTTACTCCCCACAAATATGAAGCTTCTTGGAAATTTTCAAGGTAGTGACTGGCTTCTGTTCCGCACAACTTTGCAGATGTACTGTTTATGCAAAAACACAATGTGCTTTCATTGTCACGTGTATTCAAAATTTGAAACACACTAAATAAAGAGTATTCCTGTCCATTTTTAGCTCACCTGAGCATGCTCAGGGTGAGCTTTTAGGATCGATGATTGTCCGTCGTCCGTCCGTTGTCCGTTCACATTTAGTTGTTTATACTCTAGCGGTCGCATTTTTGCCTCAATCATCATCAAACTTGGTCAGGATGCTTATCTAGTTGATAGCTCGGATGAGTTCGAACATGGGTCATCTCGGATGAGAAACTAGGTCACAAGAGCTAAAAATAGAAAAACCTTGTTAACACTCTAGAGGTCACATTTTTGCCTCAATCATCATCAAACTTGGTCAGGATGTTTGTCTAGGTGATAGCTCGGATAAGTTCGAACATGGGTCATCTCGGATGGAAAAGTAGGTCACCGGAGCTAAAAATAGAAAAACCTTGTTAACACTCTAGCGGTCACATTTTTGCATCAATCATCATCAAACTTGGTCAGGATGCTTATCTAGTTGATAGCTCGGATGAGTTCGAACATGGGTCATCTCGGATGAAAAAGTAGGTCACAGAGCTAAAAATAGAAAAACCTTGTTAACACTCTAGAGGTCACATTTTTTCATCAATCATCATCAAACTTGGTCAGGATGCTTATCTAGTTGATAGCTCGGATGAGTTCGAACATGGGTCATCTCGGATGAAAAAGTAGGTCACCGGAGCTAAAAATAGAAAAACCTTGTTAACACTCTAGCGGTCACATTTTTGCATCAGTCATCATCAAACTTGGTCAAGATGCTTGTCTAGGTGATAGCTCGGATGAGTTTGAACATGGGTCATCTCGGATGAAAAACTAGGTCACAGGAGCTAAAAATAGAAAAACCTTGTTAACACTCTAGAGGTCACAATTTTGACTTAATTGTCATCAAACTTGGTCAGGAAACTTGTCTAGGTCATTGCTGGGAATAAATCGAACATGGGTCATCTCGGATGAAAAACTAGGTCACAGGAGCTAAAAATAGAAAAATCTTGTTAACACTCTAGTGGCTACTGTTGTGATCCAAATATTCTGTTAATTGGTCTGAAAGTTTGTTTTGATGATTTCTAAGTCAAGTTCGAACAATTGGGTCATCTTGGATGAAAAACTAGGTCACACCGCCCAAATATGGAAAAACCTTGTTAACATTCTAGTGGTCACATTTTCGACTCAATTATCATCAAACTTGGTCAGGATGCTTGTCTAGGTAATTGCTTGGATGAGTTAGAAATCGCATGTGAAACTAGGTCACCGGAGCTAAAAATAGAAAAATCTTGTTAACACTCTAGTTGCTACTGTTTAGATCCAAGTATCCTGGAAATTGGTCTGAAAGTTTGTTTTGATGATTTCTAGGTCAAGTTTGAATATGTGTCACCTGGGTAAAAAACTAGGTCGCACTGCTCAAATATGGATAATTCTTGTTAACACTGTAGTGGTCACATTTTTGACTCACCTGTCATGAGACTTGGTCAGAACGGTTGTCTAGGTAATTGTTTGGATGAGTTTGATAAGTCAGGTGAGCGATCTAGGGCCATCATGGCCCTCTTGTTTAAAAATCCTGGTCACGGCACCAAAATAAACCCCCATGTAACAGGATGGGAGTTAAACAACAACTACAAAGTCCTTTCTACGTTTATTTCCATAACTACGACAACAACCCAGGTCATTTATTTTTATAATCTGTTCTAATCCATCTCTCTATCGCTTCTCCCCGAAAGAAGAATTGTATATCGATAATATCAACGCAGAAATCAATTAACCAATCACTTGTAAGGAGGCGTTCCTATAGCCAAGAAATTTATCAATATATCTTATAGAGTATAATCAGTAGAATATAAATAAACCAATAACAACAAGAACAACAATATCAGGCATATTGTTACAACTGGTTTGCTATAGAAAAAGAAAAGAGAATATATTTCAGTATTTTAACGAAAATAATAAAGCATTTTTATACCCCCGCACAACAAAGTTGTAAGGGGGGTATACTGGAATCAGCTTGTCCGGCTGTCCGGCCGTCCGGCTGTCCGTCGGTTTTTTCTTGTCCGCCCAATAACTTAAGATTCCTTTGACCCTTATTCTTCATATTTGGCATGGAGGTTAGTCATGATTAGTAGATGACCCCTTTTGATTTTGAGGTCACCAGGTCAAAGGTCAAGGTCACAGGGGCCTTGACGTCAAAAAGCTTGTCCGCCCAATAACTTAAGATTCCTTTGCCCTACAGTCGTCATATTTGGCATGGAGGTTAGTCATGATTAGTAGATGACCCCTTTTGATTTTGAGGTCACCAGGTCAAGGTCACAGGGGCCTTGACTTCAAAAACCTTGTCCGCCCAATTACTTAAGATTCCTTTGGTCCACAGTCTTCATATTTGGCATGGAGGTTAGTCATGATTAGTAGATGACCCCTATTGACTTTGAGGTCACCAGGTCAAAGGTCAAGGTCACAGGGGCCTTGACTTCAAAAAGCTTGTCCGCCCAATAACTTAAGATTCCTTTGACCAACAGTCTTCATATTTGGCATGGAGGTTTGTCATGATTAGCAGATGACCCCTGTTGACTTTGAAGTCACCAGGTCAAAGGTCAAGGTCACAGGGGCCTTGACTTCAAAAAGTTTGTCCGCCCAATAACTTAAGATTCCTTTGACCCACAGTCTTCATATTTGGCATGGATGTTGATCATGATTATTAGGTGACCCCTTTTGATTTTGATGTCACTGGATCAAAGGTCAAGGTCATAGGGACTTTGACTTCAAAAAGTTTGTCAACCCATTAACTTAACATTGCTTTGACCCACAGTCTTCATATTTGGCATGGATGTTGATCATGACTATAAGGTGACCCCTATTGATTTTGAGGTCACTGGGTCAAATGTCAAGGTCACAGGGACCTTGACAAAAAAAGCTTTTCTTCTCAATTGCTAAAGTATGTCCTGTCTGCAGTGTATTGATTTGGACATTTTCACATTTGAAGCATGTAGAATACATAATTTAGCAATGTACTGGCTTAGTAACCTCAGATTTGGCAGGGAGGTTGTCCTTGAGCTCTAAATGGCCACTGTTGATTCTGACAAAGTGGTATGCGGGGGTATTCCCGCCATGATAGTGGCAGTTCTAGTTTTGTTAAAAAATCCACCTTCTTAAAATCCTTGATTATTTTTTAAAACTTGTCCTTTTTGAATGTTATATAATAACTTAGTTCTTCCAGCACTGGGCGTATGCCTGTCTAGTGTTTTTAAAGTTTTGAAACAGCTTTCGTGTTTTCAAGCTCAAACGCAACCTCTCCAGCTAAGTTCCGATCGTTTGAATGAGATTGTTGTACCTCCATTTTGACTTGATCGTATGACTTTTTTGCTTTTGTTTTATTAATTTGTTTAGGTAGGTTTTGTTGTACATCTGGACGCTGCTGCATTGATTTCAATCCCTTTTGTTTTAAATCGTCAAGATTTTTGAATTCCTCTGTAATGAATAATTCATTATTTTTTATTTTCAAAAACTTTATTTGATCTTCTGTAACTGGTTGTTGATGATGATCTTCCATAAAATTATGAATGTAAGAAATGTATTCAATTGTGTTTTTATAACTGCACATTTTATTGTATTCTTCCTGCGTAATTACTTCTCTGTTTTTATGAGTAAGAAATTCTTCCAGAGTGTGTATATATTTGAAGATTTCTATAGCAAAGTGTTCAGCCCTAAAATAAATAATAAAAACAAAATTAAATGATTGACATATTAACGAAAAACTTTTTAGATAAAATAATAAATAACTGATTTATTAGCTCGACTATTCGATAAAAATAAGTAGAGCTATTGTAGTCACCCTAGCGTGGGCGTCTGCGTCGTCGTAACCACTTATGGTAAAGTTTTTGTAATAGTTCAAATATTTTCAAAGTCCATTGACATATGGCTTTGAAACTTTGCACACTTGTTCACCATCATGACCCCAACCTGTAGACAGGAGGTGGCAACTCTATCAAGCATTTTGACAGAATTGTGCCCCTTTTTTGACTTAGAATTTATGCTTTAGGTTTGGTAATACTTCAAATATTTTCAAAGTTCATTGACATAATTTATGGCTTTGAAACATGTTGAAATTTTATACTCTGATTTGAGAGCATACTAGGACTCTCTCCAAGGCCTATAACTGTAATATGGATTTAAAGAAAAATTTGCCTTTTCTTTACTGAGAAAATTTTACCTTTTAATCAAGGCCTTTTTTTACTATCAAGCACTAAGAATAGTCGAGCATTGCTGTCCTACCAACACCCCTTGTAAAATAACCTCTGTCAGATAAATATAGTCCATTAAGACATGTTTCATTCAAAACTATAACACAATTTTGTACATGAAGTATTTCTGTTATGGTAAATAGAAATAAATTGATTTGTGTAATTATTTTTCCTGCATAGTTTTTCTAGCTTAAGTTGTCTTGACTTATTCCTTTCATTGTTTATTTTCGTATGAATTTTCCATGTCCTCTCTGATATATGAAGTTCTTTCTAGCTAGTTGTCTGGACTTATTCCTTTCATTATTTATTTTTGTATGAATTTTCCATGTCCCCTCTGATATTTGAAGTTCTTTCTAGCTAGTTGTATGGACTTATTCCTTTCTTTATTTATTATGCCCCCCTTCGAAGAAGAGGGGGTATATTGTTTTGCTAATGTCGGTCTGTCTGTCTGTCGGTCCGTCGGTCTGTCCGTCGGTAGACCACATGGTTTCCGCTGATTATCTTGAAAAGTATTTATCACAAAGTCTTCATATTTCACATAGTGATTGGTCATAACTATTAGATGACCCCTATTGATTTTGGGGTCACTAGGTCAAAGGTCAAGGTCACAGGGACCTTAAATATTAAAATCGTTTCCGCTGATTATCTTGAAAAGTATGTTTCACAAAGTCTTCATATTTCACATAGTGATTGGTCATAACTAGTAGATGACCTCTATTGATTTTGGGGTCACTTGGTCAAAGGTGAAGGTCACAGGGACCTTAAATGTCAAAATGGTTTCAGCTGATTATTTTGAAAAGTATTTATCACAAAGTCTTCATATTTCACATAGTGATTGGTCATAACGAGTAGATGACCCCTATTGATTTTGGGGTCACTAGGTCAAAGGTCAAGGTCAGAGGGACCTTTAAATGTCAAAATGGTTTTCGCTGATTTTCTTGAAAAGTATGTATCACCATGTCTTCATATTTCACATAGTGATTGGTCATCACTAGTAGATGACCCCTGTTGATTTTGAGGTCACTAGGTCAAAGGTCAAGGTCACAGGGACCTTAAAATGTCAAAATGGTTTCCGCTGATTATCTTGAAAAGTAATCATCACAAAGTCTTCATATGTCACATAGTGATTGGTCATAACTAGTAGATGACCCCTATTGATTTTGGGGTCACTAGGTCAAAGGTCAAGGTCACAGGGGCCTTGAATGTCAAAATGGTTTCCGCTGATTATCTTGAAAAGTATACATCACACAGTCTTCATATTTCACATAGTGATTGGTCATGACTAGTAGATGACCCCTATTGATTTTGGGGTCAAAGGTCAAGGTCACAGGGGCCTTGAATGTCAAAATGGTTTCCGCTGATTATCTTGAAAAGTATTCATCACAAAGTCTTCATATTTCACATAGTGATTGGTCATAACTAGTAGATGACCCCTATTGATTTTGGGGTCACTAGGTCAAAGGTCAAGGTCACAGGGCCTTAAATGTCAAAAGGGTTTCCGCTGATTATCTTGAAAAGTATTCATCACAAAGTCTTCATATTTCACCTAGTTATTGGTCATAAGTAGTAGATGACCTCTATTGATTTAGGGTTCATTAGGTCAAAGGTAAATGTCACATGGGCATTAAATGTCAAAATGGTTTCTGTTGATTTTTCCATAATTGAACACTTCCATGTACCCATTTTTGGCAAGTTTCTGTAATAAAATTACCAATTATGTGAGTCAATGGCTAGAAAGGGGGGTATATGTGTCGTTCGACATTCTTGTTTTCGTATGAATTTTCCATATCCTGTCTGATATTTGAAGTTCTTTCTAGCTAGTTGTCTGGCCTTATTCCTTTCATTATTTATTTTCGTATGAATTTTCCATGTCCTCTCTGATATTTGAAGTTCTTTCTAGCTAGTTGTCTGGACTTATTCCTTTCATTATTTATTTTCGTATGAATTTTCCATATCCTCTCTGATATTTGAAGTTCTTTCTAGCTAGTTGTCTGGACTTATTCCTTTCATTATTTATTTTCGTATGAATTTTCCATATCCTCTCTGATATTTGAAGTTCTTTCTAGCTAGTTGTCTGAACGTATTCCTTTCATTGTTTATTTTGGTATGAATTTTCCATGTTCTCTCTGATATTTGAAGTTCAGATAGAACATCTGGATGGATTCTTATAAAATTCCTTATTAGTCCCCTACTGGTTTCTGGAGGGGACTTTATGTTAACCCTCCGTCCGTCAGTCCGTCCGTCCGTCTGTACGTACGTCCCGAAATCTTGTGAACGCAACTCCTCTTAAACCGGATGGCAGATTTTGCTTAAACTTACAGGGATGAACAACCTTAATGTGTAGATGGTAGTAAAGGAAGGAATTTTTGCTGCGACCAAATTTAACAGAATTATGGCCCTTTGTTGATTTTTTCACTATATACTATGTAGAAATTTTGTGAACGCAACTCCTCTTAAACCGGATGGCAGATTTTGCTTAAACTTACAGGGATGAACAACCTTAATGTGTAGATGGTAGTAAAGGGAGGAATTTTTGCTGCGACCAAATTTAACAGAATTATTGCCCTTGGTTGATTTTTTCTCTATATACTATGTAGAAATTTTGTGAACGCAACTCCTCTTAAACCGGATGGCATATTTTGCTTAAACTTCCAGGGATGAACAACCTTAATGTGTAAATGGTAGTAAAGGAAGGAATTTTTGCTGCGACCAAATTTCACAGAATTATGGCCCTTTGTTGATTTTTTCACTATATACTATGTAGAAATTTTGTGAATGCAACTCCTCTTAAACCGGATGGCAGATTTTGCTTAAACTTCCAGGGATGAACAACCTTAATGTGTAGATGGTAGTCAAGGAAGGAATTTTTGCTGCGACCAAATTTAACAGAATTATGGCCCTTTGTTGATTTTTAGTTTTCAACTTGTGGCACATGTAGTCCAAAAAATATTTGACCTAGAGTCATAAGATTGACAGAACAGTGGCGTGTGGGGGCATCCGTGTCCTATGGACACATTTCTAGTTAGTTTTCAACTTGTGGCACATGTAGTTCAAAAATATTTGACCTAGAGTCATAAGATTGACAGAACAGTGGCGTGTGGGGGCATCCGTGTCCTATGGACACATTTCTAGTTCACTATAAGTTCTTTATTTCTTAAGGTATTTTCTTCAAACTTTAAATATAAGTTGCTTGTCATCAACCACATCATATGTGACAAGGTTTACAACTCTAGCACAAAATTTATCAGAATTACCTCCCTTGAACTTAAAATTTTCATGAAAAAAACATTGTTTTTTTTTTAATAACTTCTTTTTCTGAATGTATCTACTTCAAACTTCATATTAATGTTTCTTATTGTCACTCAACATTTGTGAGTGTTCAATACTCTAGCAAGACTATTTCCAGAATTATGCCCCTTTTGAACTTAGACTTTTTTTTGAGAAATTGGTAATTTTTACTCCAACTTCTTCAATCATGATAGGATTTTAAAAATGTTATATTTTGATAACAGGGATGCTCAAAAAATAACTTTAGAGTGTCCTTCAGTCCGTCTGTCTGTACATAAAAACTGTTTCCTGTGATCACTTTTAAAGAACTTTTTCAACAAATTTACTTAAAATAGGAACCTAAGTGAATGGCCAATGGCCCTTCAGAATGTTGCTTGGGCTCTTACCCAGAGATTGGGAAAGAATTTTTGCAGATGAGACTATGTCTCCACCTGTTGGAAAACTAATGAGACATTTTTAAAAGTTATGAGACATTGTTCAAAACTAATGAGACATGTTTTTCTTAATGATTATAAAGTACGAATACTGGTCGGAGACCATCAACCGGACACTTTTGGAATATTTT